AAAGTCATCAACTATGAGCACGGTGTGTTCATCGAGTAGTTCCATAACATCATGTTTAGCCTTGTCCTGATTTATTGTCCTTAATTGATGTCTCTTATATGCTTCAATGTTGTTGCAGGCTTCACGAACTATATACGTGGCGTTGTCTTTCTCGTCATCATTTGAAAAACGAGTGTGCTCAACTTCAGATTTGATTTCATCGAGAGTGACTTTGAGGTCTTCACAGCGGTCCTGAGTTTGGTTGTGTAAATGATCATCACAAGTTGCTTGAAAAACTTTCTTGCTGCTGTTACTGAGAGAATACTTTATACAATGGTCTGGAATGGTTGAATTCTCAGATACGTGCACCTATCAAAAAAATATTAGTACCATAAAATACCGTGTTGTATATTGTGTATGCGTTATCCACTTCCATGTCTTGGGTGGTTCAGGAGTGCTTACCTTGTAGTCACTCTTCAAGTACTGTTTTCCTGATAAAAGTCTGCCTTTGATGTCTTCAGCTTTGATGGAATCCATTCCACATTCTTCTAGAGTATTTACAATAAGCGCGAGGTCATCAAATGCCTTACCAGCATCAGCTGAGAAGTAGTCCAGACCCTGAAGACTCTTTCTGGTTGACGCGCTGCAAACTGATAGTACACGCCTTAGAGTGCTTCTACTCAGTGGTGTCTTTTCTGTCTCCTTGGCATAACTAAGGTACTGGTCAATTATCCKCTCAATTATTGATACTCTGATAACGTTTGGAATACGAATGACTTCTCCAGATTCAAGTTTCAGGTTTTTCTCGCCAAATGGTAAACCTTGCACTACAAAGGAGCTTGTTATGAAATTAATGAAGTCTTCTAATTGGCACGGGTCAACTCTCTGTCTGTTCTGAGTACTGAAGGAAATTGGAGTACCACGACCATATAACGTTTTATGTTTCCTTGCTTCTGTAACTCGGTACTGTGTCAGACCTGGAATGAATTTGACCAACGTTTTGTAGGGAGCAAGGTCTGCCRTAACAGATAAGATCTGCCTTCTAGTAGCCCATGTAGTTGCATTCTCATATGCTTCACTCAATGACTGGAGGTACTTTGACTCCTCGGGAGAGATTTGGTGCTCCTCAGGAATTATGCCAAGCGCACTGTCTATAGAAGTATTCTCTTTGAGAGACTTCCAAAGCCCCCCTGGATTGGTTGGATAAATCAGTTTGATAACCACGGAGATGATGTCACATGCTTTGCTAATGTACAATCTTTTAGTTCGTTCTGAATGCTCACTCATTTTATCGACTTTTGGTAAAGGATCAATACCACAACATGTAAGAAAATTGTTCAATAATTCTCTTCGGTATTCCAAGACATGTTCGCGCGTGCCATCTGCAATTAAACTTTACCTCTGCCTCATTTGAGCTGTTAGGTTGATTTTCAAATCCGTGTCGTAGTCTGGTTCTTCAACGCTCTAATGAAAGCATACAAAATGGTTAACTTATGAACTTTTAAAATCATAATCTTATAAAGTCACTTTGTGCATGCCTGCTGATCACTATATATCTTTGTTCTTGTAGAGCGAAGACGCTGTTGTCCTTTCAAAGACATTTCAATGCTCCCTTCTTGGGTTTCGCAGAGCTCCACCAATGTTTCTTCAGGACGGTCGATATTTATGATGGATATACTATTGAGCTTCTCACGGCAATGTCTGCAAATTGCTAWCAAAAAAGGGAAACAAACACACCCGTTAGGTTGCGCATAAAAGTATTAATAAATGATATTCTCCTTACGCAATCCAACTGGTATACAGACTCCGGTCAGAATTTTGATTTTCACTGCATACTGATGTGAGCAGCCTATATCGCCTTTCCTGCTTTTGGC